TGACCTCAGACTGACCTCAGTCTGACCTCAGTCTGACCTCAGACGGTGTGTTGGGAATGACTCTCAGCTACTTCCTCACAGTTTTAGTTCAATATTTGTCAAACGGAGTGGGTTGGCTTTGGCGGCCATCTTGAAGTGAATCAGTTGTAAACAGGGATCCAGAGTTTCATTCAAATCCATCCAGTGGTTTGTGAAATATTTTGCTAACAGACAAAGACTCGGGATCTCCCGTCTCTTTTCCTTTTGAACGCGCTCCGTGAGACCGAACGGTCGGTTTAGTCCCGCTTGTTGTCGGGTTTTTACCGGGTCAGCTGGTACCGGCCGTTTCCTGTTGACTCCTGTTAACCGGTGTAATTGGGTTAAAGCGGTCATGAGGACAGAACCGGGCACAAAGCTCTGCTGTTAGTGTCTGCTGCGAGTCGGACCTGACCCGGTTTCATGTGGCGCCGCCTAATAAAAGTCAGGAAGTTGATGAACGGCCGTTTCTTCCAGTTCTTTGGGTGAACTGTTGGCGCCTCTCGTGGTTTGGGTCGGTCTTTAAAGAACTCTGTTTTTGTTTAGATCGTGGTTCTGACCCGTCTTTCTGCCGAGTCACGTGTCTCTGTGGGTCCACCTCGGAGGGTCCAGACCCGCTCGGAACCACGATGATGAGACTTAAAGGATGGTCTTCATCACTCTTCATCAGCGTCGGCACGTATCGACCACAGAACCGGGTCGGTCCGATCCGTTTAGGGGAGACGGACGTGAGACGTGAATGTTTCTGACTAACGTCCGCTGACCTTTTTACAAATGATTCTTTGTTGGAGGAAAAAAGTGAATTTAATGAACGAGGACAGAAGATGGAACCCTTTCAGAAATCAGCCACACGTTTATTTAATTAATTGATTGATTTTGGACGGTCAATAAACATGATCTTTTCTGATAAAACCTCATTTTTATTTTGTCTGAATTTTTAAATGCTCTCATAACTTCACAGTAACTTTACTAAACATCTTGCAGACTTTTTTATCTGTGCACGTGTTGGTGCTCGGAGAGCTTCTGTAAGAATGTACCGGAGTAAATATTTCTCCCTCGTTGAAGACGCCTCGTTGAAGACGCCTCGTTGAAGACGTCTCGTTGAAGACGCCTCGTTGAAGACGCCTCGTTGAAGACGCCTCGT